TTCAAAACCTTGTTACTTCCCATTCCTGCTTCAACAATCTTGAGGACACAAAGTAGCACAAGCCTTGAGCATGTATCCCTTCAGATCCTACGGGAAAGTTGATGAGCACGAGCAAATGGTGTTGGAGGCAAGGAGAAAAACCCGAAAGAGAATCACAATCATAAGCTTGTCCTCAATAGTGCTAGCAGGTGTTGTGTTTGCTGCAGTATTTGGCATTGTTAGCACCACTCGTGACACCTCACAAGGTGTCAGTGATGCTCAATCTGTGAGCAATTCGGTGAAGGCTGTTTGTGATGTGACATTGTACAAGGACTCGTGCTATAGCAGCCTTGGTTCTGTTGTGGACTCGGGGCAGGTTCGGCCTGAGGAGCTGTTCATGTTGTCAATGAAGGTGGCATTATCTGAAGTGTCCAAAGCTGTTGATTATTTCAGTGATCATGATCATGGTGTTTTCAAAGGGTTGAAGGGTGGCAGGAATAAGGAGGCTTTGAAAAATTGTAGGGAGCTTTTGGGTCTTGCACTTGATCATCTGAATAGCTCTTTGACATCCGGGGAAAACTCTTCACTTCTTGATGTTTTTGAGGATCTTCAAACGTGGATAAGTGCTGCAGGTACCATATATTAATTATAAGCATATTATAGTCATAATTTATACAGATACATCACACATTCACACCCCTTTTGTTTATACTATTCAAACACCTTTTTATTTCATGGTGAAATGAAGAGAGTAATTCGAATTTGGGTTTTAGTTTATCACTCCTCCTTTTTACCATAAAAGGTGAGGGTGAAAGGGTGGTGTACAAAAAATGAGTAATGAAATGTAGGAATGGTACACATCACCTGACTTATTTGCTGAGTAACTTTCATCTATTTGTTTTAAAACATAGTCTTCATTAGAGTATATTTAGATACAAGTTTAGAATTACTTTTAAGGATTTTTTATTTTTAAAAATAAATTCTTTATTTTTAGTAGAGAAATAAAAATAAAAAAAATAAAAAACTCATCTAAACTATATCTATATAGACTCTTTATTAATTACTAATCAGTTTTTCTTAATGTTAAATGGTTTTAAAGTATTGCCTTGACCAACTTTTCTTAATGTGAATTGGTTTTAAAACATTGCCCAACTTAAATGTAGTTTCAAAATAGAATCTAACTTGTTATCAAGAGCCTTTGATCCATTTTTGGTTATTCTTCAGTTTCAGCAGCTTGATCATCTAACATGAAAAAAAACAATTTTTGTTTTAATTTTTGGTCATACTATAAATTTATTTTGTTCCACTTTTCATCCTATCTTTTTACTCGTGTAATCATGTTACTGGAGTTGGAGCATGCACAGTGTAGCTAGCCTATTTGGTTGACCTAGAGAGAAAAACAAGCAACTAGAACTACTCCAATCAGATTTCATCGTAAAATCACCGAATTAGACTACTCGGAGCTAGGGTGCACTCTTGTGACCCTTTTAGTTTTACTTGATAATAACTTTATAATCTGTTTTTTTGTGTGCTTAAATAGGTACATATCAGCACACTTGCATTGAAGGCTTCGAAAATGAAAAAGTAGCACTTAAGTCAAGAGTAGTAAGCTATCTTAAAAACTCTACACAGTTCACAAGCAACAGTCTAGCCATCATCACCTGGATCAACAAGGCTGCAACCACACTGAACTTGCGGCGATTATTGAATTTACCTCATCAGAATGAAGCACCAGAATGGCTTCATCCAAAAGATAGGAAGCTGCTTCTAATAGAGGATTTGAAGAAAAAAGCTAACATTGTTGTGGCCAAAGATGGCAGTGGGAAATATAAGAAGATTTCTGATGCACTTAGACATGTCCCTGATAAGAGTGACAAGAGAACTGTGATCTATGTGAAGAGAGGGGTTTACTATGAAAATGTGAGGGTAGAGAAGACCAAATGGAATGTGATGATTATTGGTGATGGTATGACTTCTACTATTGTGTCTGGAAGGCGTAACTTTGTGGATGGCACACCAACATTTTCAACAGCAACATTTGGTACGTAATTATATTCATTCAGTTTGTGTTTAGATACATTTTTTGTCCCTATAAATTTTCTCTGAATTTTGTTTTAGTCCATACAGTTTATTTTTGTCAAGGAATTGATCCCTGATGTTGGAACCAAATCCTAAATGTACACACCATGGAAGGAACCAAGAAACTATAGGGACTCAAAACAAAGCCTTTAAAGTATAATGACCACAATCATAATTGAGAAAAACAATAGTGACTAAAAAAATATTTAAACTAAGTGTTAAATTAGAATGCCTTGATCATGTAAAATCTTTTTATTCTGTCTTCAAATCACAGGTTGTTATGTACGTTAACTTTGTTATTTTGTAATAACATCTTAAAAGTAACACTTTCCTGATTGGTAGATAATATAAATTAACATAGCATGAAAGTTAAACTCTTAAACTACTTAGACTAAAAATTTAATGTGTATCTTTTCATAAACACAGTTTGGTTAACTGGCAAATATTTTCTCTTTGAATTGTTGGGGTGCAATCAGCTGTATTTGGAAGGAATTTCATAGCTAGAGATATGGGTTTTCGCAACACAGCTGGTCCACAGAAGCATCAAGCAGTGGCACTAATGACAAGTGCTGATCAAGCAGTTTACTATAGGTGTCACATTGATGCATATCAGGACACTCTCTATTCTCATTCCAACCGCCAATTCTACAGAGAATGCAACATTTATGGCACAGTTGATTTCATTTTTGGAAATTCTGCAGTTGTGATCCAAAACTGTAATATTAGGCCAAAGTTACCTATGCATGGCCAGCAGAACACAATCACAGCTCAGGGAAAATTTGACCCTAACATGAAAACTGGCATCTCCATTCAATATTGCAACATTTCACCCTTTGGAAACTTGAGTTCTGTCCAGACTTATCTTGGAAGACCCTGGAAGAATTACTCAACCACAGTGTACATGAGATCCAGAATGGAAGGTTTTGTGAACTCCAATGGCTGGTTACCATGGACAGGGAACTCAGCACCAGACACCATTTTCTATGCAGAATTTCAGAATGTTGGACCAGGTGCTTCAACAAAGAATAGGGTCAAGTGGAAGGGTTTGAGAAACATTACCAGTAAACAAGCCACAAAATTTACTATCAAGGCTTTTCTACAAGGAGACAGATGGATTTCTGCATCAGGTGCCCCATTTAAGTCTGATCTGTGACATTCAATAACCATAATATTCAATTTGCATTGATCCCTTTGTCAAAATTGTTTGTACTTTTTGTTAGTTTTTCCTTTCCCATGCTCTTCTTGATTTGTATTATTAATTTGACATCGTATAATAATTCATTTAATTTGACTAATTATTTCCCTTAATACCATGTTTTCAACATTCTGTGTCTCTTTCTCTCAAGTTTCTTTCCCTTGGAGACAATCATGGTGATTGGTGAGTAAAAGGAATCTTCTGGTGAATAATATTCTTAAGAATTGGTTTTAACCGAGTCTAACTATGTCACCATCAAGTAATCCATGTAGCCGAGTTCACTTAGTAGGATAAGACTATTACTGCTGCTGTCGTTATTGTTGGAGACAAGCATGCAACTCTACACTCATCTAGAAGTAAAATAAAGGATACATTAGAATATAAGAATCATTGTAAACCAACTTTCCTAAATGCTTTCCAAAATATTATTTCAGATAACTTGTACATATTCTTATTAAGACTTGAATTTTCATCAGAACATTTATGCCTCTCATCCCTTTTGGATGCTTAGAAGGAAAACCATATAGTTACATTACATCTAACAAATAATGAATCAAATTTATTTTTTCAATCTAAACTTTCAGTTGTCTATCTCAGTAGTCCTTCAGTGTAAGGAATATCTGTGTCAGGAAGCCATGTATTTCCTAGAGTAAAATTAAGGACAGTAAAGTTCCAAGCTTGAGTAGCATTCAACAGAAAGTAACCAGGCCATTGTACTCTATTGCTTGTGTTAGAACCAGGTCCATAGTTGTTGAACTCACCATAAAAGAGGGTGTCTAACCCAACTGTACCATTCCACTCTAGCCATCCAGCAGGATGAATTACATCTCCAATGTATGACTGCAGATAGACAGTCCTTGAATACACCTTCCACGGCCGGCCTAAGTAACTCGGCGTCGAATTCAAGCTTGCTGCCAAGTCTGGTGCAGCATCAATTGTGCAGTTTTGGATTGAAATGCCAGTGTTTTGATTCGGATCAGTTCTTCCTTGTGCTGTCACAGCATTCTTCTGGTTTGGCAATGGTTTTCTGGCATAGATGTTACAGTCTTGGAAGACCACTGCTGCGTTGCCGAAAATGAAGTCCACAGTGCCATAGATGTCACATTCCCTAAAGAATTGCCTCAAAGAGTGAACATAGAGTGTGTCTTGGTATCCTTCAAAGCTGCAACGGTAGAATGTGGAGAGGTCAGCATTGTTCCTCACTGCCACTGCTTGGTGCTTTTCAGGTCCAGCTGTGTTTCTAAATGTGACATCCACTGCTGTAAATCTTTCTCCAGCAACAGCTACAACACAACCAAATATAGCATTGATTCAGCAAATTTAGTATAAAAAGGGAAGTTGTTAATGTAACTGACTAGAAAGATCCCTATACTATTATAACACAAGAATAAGTAAAGCTTTATTTTTATGCGGTATCAATGTAAATAAAAAAAATAAAAAAATAAAAAATAAAAAAAGCTGCATAGTCAAATAATCAGAAATTATTATCAATGACTTTTAGAATAATTACTGTAAAAGTCAATAAACTTACTATACATGATAATTTGTGATGGAATGATAATATAAAACCCTTTTACATTGTTTGCGCAAAGACTATTTACTCTACATTTTAACCCGCTAATAAATTATTTAGCAGAAAAATCTGCAAAAATATAATTAATGTTAACATATTACTAATGCAAATTTTTTTGGTGTAAGTGAAAATCTCAGGAATAGTTTTTTTTAATAACACTTGACTTGTTTGCAAATGAGGAGAGTTGGAAAGCATAAAGGACTTACCAAAGGTGGAAGAATTGAAAGTTGTCCAACCATCTATGACACTATGGTTCCCTGTGATGATAGTCTTGTTAATACCATCTCCCACTAGCAATATATTCTTCTTTTCTTTGGGAATAACTACATATTCCTCATAGTATCCCTCTCTAACATAGACAAGAAAATAGCCATCTTCAGGCTTTGTGTTATTGGGTGCAGCAGCAATAGCCTCTCCAATGGAGGTGTAGTTGTCTATTCCATAATGGCTCACAATCACAAAGTCGTGTAATAAAATTCCTTGGCTTCCGCTTTCCTTAAGAATCCTTTCAGGTCTTGTACAATTGGATTTGGAGCAACTGTACTTTGTGCGAAGAAGCTGCAACAAAATAATATTTCAATTTTAGCCTTTCAGCGAACACTTTTATGCATTTAATATGTATAATCAAATTTAACTATGATTAAGTAACACCAAGAGTAAATTCATGCATAAATTATTACAACACAACTTCATTGTTTCTTGCCAAATACTAAGGCCATATGATCGATTTATATATTATGTATTTTGTAGGCTGTAACATTCATAATTGTTTGCCAGACATAGGAAGTTCATGATACATATGAAATGTTCCATTTTCTTTCTGATATTTTTATTATTGATATTATTGAGCATACCTTCGGAAAATTTTGTTTTCAAGTTCCTTATTAATATAAGGTAGCTAAGTAATGGAGAGTGGCAGAATTTTTTCTAAGCAAGCTTGATATGAAAGTTGTGACAATAATTGAAATTAATCTTAAATGTTTATGGTTTTAAAAATTGTCATGAAACATGTTATATTGTTGTCCACCATACACACAGATGTCTCCACATTGAAGAAATATTGTTCATTTTGAGTTTACACTTTCATACTTTTGTTTTTAGTTATCACTCAAAATATATCTTATCAATGAAGACAATTGTGTGTATATAAATCTATATTCATTCTCTTATTCGAATGATGTGAGATTTTGGTTGCATGAACAAACTTTCTCATGAATTGATGAGCAAATTTTTTATCATTTATGAAACTTTGTAACAACTAGAATCTTTTCTCATGAATTGATGAGCAAAATAAAGACAAGTTCACGTTGATACATGATACATATAATGGTATGTAGCAAATAAAAGTTCGATAACACGTGCATGATGTGGTGCCAATGGCATAAACGATCAAGAATCCACGTGACTGATCATGAAGTTGTTATACATATGTCAAGGAATTCACGTTAAAAACAGAGGAAAACAGAGCGTACTAGTTTGACCTGTGCTCAACCCATGTAAGCATCAAGCATGTGATTGACTTAAACTATCATTGCATTTTAAACTAAAAAAGTTCGTCTTAGAAGTTGAAACTAGATAAGTCAAATGTTTGAGTTTATGTAAGTTGAATTTTTCACTCCATGTGATACGATACTAGATAAGTATATCATAATGACGTCAAATATAGATTGTGTGGGTTTTGTCTTGTATAAATAGAACAGAGGATTGACCTTTAATTACGCCATTTCTCATTAAAATTACCCTATTAGTCTATTAATGTTTGAAAGGGTGTGAAGAAATACAAAGGGAAGGTATGAATTAAAAAAAAAAGTATTATCCTCCCCTTTCCCATGCCAAATATAAAATAGTTATCATGTTTAGGGTATGGAATGGAAATTGGAATATATATACAAGTGTGTGAGACATACTACTCAAACTCAATTTTTTTGTTCCCATGCAAAATAGTTTTTTACTTTTATTGTAAAGTTTGTTAACTATTATTCTGGTTTCATATCTACTAATGTTTTAGTTTTTTTTTTTAAAAAAAATTATTGATGTTTGACAAATCAAAAATATTAATTAGTTTTTCAACTATATCCCTATTTAACAAGTTTTAAATTATTTTTTTTTTATCTATTTCAAAATAGTGGTTTATCAATTGTTACAATAGTGATTCACTTATATTCATATTTAACAATTATTACAATAGTGACTTTTCAAAAGTAATCGAATATTAATTAAGGGTATTATAGTAAAAATACAACAATATTTTACATGTATTAAATGTTCTATGACATGTGTTCATTTATCTTAAAAAATCAAACATCAGTTGATATATAATAGATATATATAGAACAACGAATGGGGTACTTTTAAGACAAAAGTTGTTACACAGCAAAATGTTTATAACAGCTATTGAAATCTCTTTAGAGGAAGATTTTGTCTTACGAAAAGAATAAGCTTTTGACTGAAACAAGAGCCCACGAGAACATGTTATGGTAATTTAAATCGATCAAGTTGTATGTTTTCTTGTTCTAAGAAATATAAAAGTGATCATCACATAAGAAAAATTGAAGAAATTTTTGTTTACTATCCGAGTAGCTAGTAAAGAAACCGTATGTACCGAAAAGTAAAGAAAAGAATTAATTCTGGAATAGAAGAGGACATACTTCAAGAGACTTACTAAAAGTCAAATTCTTTCTAATAAGGCAGATAAAGAAATGGACTAGACAAAGGTTAAACTAAAATCAAATAAACCAATAAAAACTATGGGAATTTAGTTTATAGTTAACTGAAAAGCATGCGCGAATTATTATAATCAAATTCTCACAAAAAAAAAAAACAATTAAAATCCTTTAAATAAAAAAAATTTAACCAATCAATGTTGGCTCAAAAATGACTCAATTAATGGACGTTAAATCGGAACCCATAGATCATAAATTCGTCTCGCATGCAAATAAAAACAATTAATTATTCTAAACTGTATTGATATATATATATATATCAACAAGATAAGACGTATATGAATAATAGTCTCTCGCTACCTGTCTTACTTGAAAAATATTTGCTTCGTATTCATCTACATATCTATATGAATATCCATTAAACGAGTACCCGTGTATATGTGAGCATCTAAAGATATTTGTGGATATTTAATTTAAAAATAAATAATTTTTCAAAAATATTTTAGTAATAATTTTTATTTATTTTAATAATTTCTTTAAAAATAATAGTTTAAAAGACAAAACTTAAATTATTCAAATATTATACATAATTTTATTAATCAAGATTTTTTAATTTAAAACTAAATTTATTTATTAAAGTATTTCATTCTCATAAATTTAAACAAATTTAACATGTAATTATATAATTAAATATTAACAAATACTTACATATACAAGTACTATATACCCATCTCATTAACAATATTTATCTTTTAGCCATAAATATACACAGGTAAGGATTTGTTTTTCACATTCCTACCTCTATATCCAGTATAAAGACCAATAATTTGAAGTTTTGATGTGTCGGTGACGCAAGTAGTAGGAAATAGATCTAACTTCTTCCATAGCTACCGTGTTCTTTTTAAAACTTTGTACTTTATTATTCAGTGAAATTCAATTTTTTCTAATTTTAAAACTAGTTAAATTCACGTAACCTTCAACACATACAAAAGAATTTATGAAAAAAAAAAGGTATTAGAGTAAAGAAATTATTGTATACTCTTATACTATCATGTTTATATGTGTATATATAGTCCAATTTTACAAGATAGAATTAAAACTCAAATATATATTATGTGGGGGATTGATCTAGGTTATAGACAGGCATGCATAGTTTTTTGGGTGTGATTAGAATTAAAGTTAAAATTTTACCTCATTAATAACATGCATAAATATATAGTAGTGAAACATGTATTAAATGCAAGTGTATAGCACCAATTAAATTTTGTCCAAACCAAAATAGTAGTCATTAAAATAGGTATATACTAGAAGTGAGAAAGAAGGAATGATAATTACCTTGATGAGCTTCTCAAGTGGTTGCCTAACCTTGAAGGCCTTGGTGGGAAGACCATGTTTGCGGGTCCTATTCCTCTTGAGGTTTTTGTCAAGAGCCTGAGTGACCAACCCAAGTGACACACTGTACAACTGCGTCACATCCTTGAGTGGCACGGCAAGAGCATTGGCAATGCTGCTTTTGGTCACAACCAACCCATCATAGCACGTGTAGTGGTTCGTGGCCACAGCACTGAGGTAGCTCTCGATTTTCTCAACAAGTTCTGAGTCTGATGAGCCAGCAGATTTCAGCTCCTCGGAGATTGACACCAAGTAATCCACGTTGAGTTGGTTGAGATCTCTGCAGTCACCAAGTGATGCAATCTCAGCATGGTTCAATGATGATGATTGGTGGCGTTGGAGAAAGTCCTCAAACACCTTGGCTAGTTTCCTTGCCTGTTTCAGGCTTTGTTTTATGGAGAACTTGCCGTAGCCATAAGGGTCAGAAGGTGAGGAACGAATGGCTGAGATGATGGAACGGCATAGTTTTGGATATAGTGTGCCTTTGCATGCAACAGAAGGAGAAGGAGTAGAAGTAGAAGGTGGAGTTTGAGATTGAGATTGAGATTGAGCTAAGAGTAATGGTGCTGCTAAGAGGAAGAGAAAGAGAAGGTAAAAAAATGGTGGGGGTGACATTGTTTTGATGAGATCTAATGTGGGGTTTGTGACTTGTGTTGTGAATGTGTGTTTTGGCATGATGATGAGCATTTATAGGGAGAGAGGGGGAAGCGTAAATGCGCGTAGGGAATTATTAAAAGTGGAGAAATAGTAGTAGAGAGTGTGGGGTGTGTCGGTGTGAGTGTACATGGTTGAATGGTTGTACAATGAATGCATGTTGCAGAACAAAGGAACGTGCAAGGAAAGGTTTTAACTAATGCTAAGGTTGCCATAGATATGATGCTAATTAGGTAGGTACTCTAGTAATGAAGTACATGTTTGTTGGTTTTCTACACTTGCATTTAGTATTACCATTTGGTACAACAATCATTAGTTGTTTCATTGAATTCTTCTCTCTATTTTCTTTTTCCTTAATTGTTATGTTACTACTTACTACAATTTTGTTAGAAATCTCACTTAGAGTAGTAATTTTTTTAGATCAAAATTTATTTTTTTAAATTGTATATATCAAAGTTTATCTTAATGATTATTTATTGTTGGATATATTTATTACTTATTATGAGTGTTTATTAAAATATTTTAGTATATAAAATGTGTGGAAAATATCTCATCAATTAATGATATGACCTATATAATTATTGTATATATAAGAGAAAAATTCTCATCCTACAAATTGATTGAGCTAGTGTCAAACTCTTTTTTTTTTCTGAAAAAAAATGTTGTTTTTAATTTCTCTTCCCTTCCTTGTCTATGTTTCCAGCTTCAATAATAAATATAATCTAAACCTTTTATATATTAAAGAAAGATACGTATTGGTATATCTAATATCTATGTTGTCTATATGTGAACTATGTACTGTTTTGTGATGGTGCTTGTAATAGGAGAAAATTAATAAAGTTTTGACAGCCGCTTAATTTGAAAAATATACAATCGCCAATTAAACAACGATTTAGTGATTAATTAATCATTATGTGGATATATATGTACTAGAGATCTAAACAAAATAGAATGATGCCATATCATGAGCACCTAAAAGCAAATTAGAAAGGAACACGTACAGTACTTGCTACCTAGAGTTAGTTAAAAACTATCATATATAAAAGTTGAAAACACAAGATATGACATCACTGATAGTTCAGCAACTTAATCAACTTTTTGTATTGCAAACTTAACTTTTTACTTGGCCATCTTATAAATGACTTCGTTATTTCCTTCTGTTTTAAGGAAGGCCAACACTTACAAGTTCTATTTATTCTTAAGTACATTTTTTCTTTAAAAGGTTAAATTCCATTTTCAATTTTTCAATAATATCAAATTCATAATTTTAGTTTTTCTTACGGGTGTTTCTATTTTTATTTTTTAAATTTTAGTCTTCAATTTTATTAAATCTATAATTTTAATTTTATTCATTGAATGTTCATCTATTTATGATTAAAATTATAATAATAATTGTGACCTAATATTATGTAGATGATACGATAATTGATATTTAAGCTAATTTGTACATTTAATTTTTATTTTTATCAAATTTTATTTCATTTTATCACTTTATGAGATAAAAATAAGAATCAATAATTAATTGTAGCCTAAATATTGTTAGATATTAATTGTCATGTCATATAAGTAATTATAAATCATTATTAACATTATAATTTTAATGATCAATAGATCAATAGTTAACAAGAGAACTAAAATTATAAATTTCATAAAATTAAAGACTAAAATTATGAAATTAAAAATAAAGAAATCAAAATTATAGATTTAATATTATTGGGAGACTAAAAAATAATTTGGCCTAAATAAATATAATTTCAGGTTAGGCAAAAAGAAAATAAAAGTTCGATAGAAAACTGTTCTTTTTTTTTTTTTACACCTTTGATAGAAAACTTTTAAAACATTCTCTATTCATAACTAAAAATAAAGATTATTGAAAAGGGAATTAAAATCCTTATGTTATATTTTTGGCATGTGCAATAAAAAGAATAATAAATTTTTAATATATGTAATTAAAATTCATAATTAATAAATATCTTTAATATGAGTTTATTTTTAATTAGGATTTAGCATGTGCAATATACAGGTTAAATATTTATTATATGTAATTAAATTTAAAATTACATGTTTATAAATGAGTATTATGTTTAAATATATAAATTATATTTAAAATTACAATAAGTAGATATTCTTAAATATAAATTATATTTTAAAGTAATAATAAATAATTTATATTATTACACAAAATCAATTTTATTTATTGATATTTATCTTAAAATATTAAAATTTAATTCATAAATAATTATAATAAATAAAAATTGAATTTGATATGATGTTAAAACAATCTCTAAAAGTTAAATAAAATATAATTTTGATATCATAAATAATTATAACAAAATATAAAATTGAATTTTGTTCTATATAATTTTAAAAAAAAAATAATACACATACAAAAATATATACATCATAATTTATATATATATTAGTAGGGATCGAAACATTTCATGTCTCTATATTTTATTTAAATTTTTTAAATAAAATAAAAATTGAGGTTAAATAATAAAGGTGTTTAAGAATTTGAGTGGTTAGAGATAATTAACTTATTTGAATGATTAATTTTCAATATTAATTTTTAATATTTAAAGATCTAAAGGTAAACTTGTTTAAAAAATGTGGAGACGAAAAAATAGTTATAAATCCATGTATCTACAACGCATAATATAGAAAAGTCTAATTGTGTTAATTTGCTAGTCTATTCCATTTATATATATTAGTGGAGTCGAAACCATATCTCTATATTTTATTTAAAAATTTAAAATCAAATAAAAATTAAAGTTAAGTAATAAAGGTGATTAAACATTAAGGATTTGAGTAGTTAAAGGTGGTTAACTTATTTAAATAATTACACAAGTTGTTAGTTTCTAATATTATTTTTATTATTTAAAGACCAAAGGGTAAAATTGTTCAAAAAGAAAAATGAGGACGAAAAACGATTATAAACTAATATATTCCTTTTATATATATATATATATATATAGGTATAGATTTAAAAATTTAAAATAAAATATAAACTAAAGTTGAATAATGAAGGTGGTTAAAAATTGAGGATTTGAATAATTAGAGGTGGTTAACTAATTTGAGTAGTTCCATGGATGGTTAATTTTTTATATTATATATTTTTATTATTCAAATATCTTAGAGTAAAATCATTCTAAAAAAAATAGTGATGACAAAAAATATTATAAATTAATATATCTCCTTTATAAATAGGTATATAATTTCTTTATTTTTAATAAATATAATAAATTATGTGCTAAACAAAATATATATATATATATATAT